ATTGTAGATCTTAAGTACGTATTTATGCGTCTCGTGGCTGAAAATGAACGATCAGATGTTGCAGACGAAATTGGCAATATCCATCCTATAAAAATTTGGGAATACTTTTTTAGATACATTTTCCTGAATGAGACTAAAATTATCTGTTTTTTCATTATTGCAGTATGAATTTTTAAAGACAACCATTTTAWTTTTAAGATCACATTTATTAATTTCAAATAAATCCTGAAAAACATATAAAAATTTAACCTAACCTAACCTAACCAGTGCGTACATAATACGAACGATAAAAACGTGTATCATATATAAAAGATAAAATATGAGTATAGGACTCTGGTATATTAGCCACGATTTATAGAAAGGTAGGCAATATATTAAAATATATTTTATATATTTGTGAAATGAAATTAAAATAAATTATTATTATTAAAAACTTTAAAAAAAAAAATGGAAATACAGCTGAATTTTTAAAGGTTTATTAATATTTTAGGAATCCATTGAAAATTTTTTAGTTGCGCTAATGATTTAGATGTTAGATTAGGGCGTCGCGGTGATTGACTTTGGAACGTCTGTTTGAGCTACGTTGACGGCTAATGGTGATGGTCGTCTCTGGTCTTTGGTCGTCGATGTTTGAAGTGTTTAAACTGTTTGAMCGGTTGCAAAGATAATGGAAGACTGAACGTTATTGACCGATACACCTATATATTTATACGTATTGCATTGTTTTAGAGTCTAGAATCTAGACGATCACCGTAGTTGGCTCTTGGAAATCCAATATGAAAACCGCACACATTACTCTCGTTCCTTTATTAATTTGGTGCAAGTTTCACTTATTATAATGGATTTTATTATGCTTTGTTTTGCTCGGGGTTTTTATTAGTCTTAAAAAAAAAAAAACCATTTTTATGCATGTGATTATTTGTTCCATAACAAGTTTTAAAAAGTCAGAGCCAATAATAGGAATGATTGTTTACAATAATCTCTACAATAGTCCTCGTACTATGCATTATAATTAAATTATGGTAGCAACTTTTGACTTATTGAGATTTGAGATGAGAGTTTCTRAAAACGGTGTTCTACCCCGTACCGTTTAAAATTTGAATACCTATACAATTATATTATTTGCATACTATATAGTGTTATGTTATTTTGAACATTGTTTCCAACGTGACCTATTAAATTTCTTACTAATAAATAAACATAGATGGGTCATATATTTAAATAGTTTATATTTTTAACATAAATATATTTTAAAACCACAAATAAAATTAATTTTTTTAATTTGCTTAGAAATGTGTTCAATACCAAAGGTAGAATGTTGTACGGTGTCGGCGTGTGATATGAATACATCAATTAACACACGAGAAGAGACGGTGAAAGATCTCGTCAAAAAAGTAGATTGTGATAAGCAAAAGAATGCGACCGAAATTGGTCAAAAGTACAAATGTTGTACTTTATCACCCGTTGAACCGACTCCTTTGACTAATGTCAATTGTTGTGAAAAAGCGAGACCTTGCATTAGCAGTTTTTTCTCTGCAGGAAAAGGTGAATGTGATAATTTTGAACTGACACCACACGGGAAAGACTTTGCTTTAAAAACGGGAAGATTAGTGAGTGAACATTAAAAATCAATATTTTTCTCATAACATTTAAGTGTGTAAAATATAAATTATAATTT